TTCACCAAACTGGTTAACATAGCCTTCATGGCATTTTCTTAGTTATTGTGTTAAGACATTTATATTCTACATTTAGAAAGATTCACATGTACCCTTGTAACATGAACCATAGGTGTGGTCCCATCAATCATCCTCCCTCCACTCATCCTCCCCCCTCCCTTCCCCTCCTTCTCCCTCTTCCCCATATTCTTGGGCTATAATTGGGCTATAGCTTTCATATGAAAGCTATTAATTAGTTTCATACTAGGGCTCAGTACATTGGATACTTTTTCTTCCATTCCTGAAATACTTTGCTAAGAAGAATGTGCTCCAGCTCCATCCATGTAAACAGGTCTTTTCTAGCTTATCCATGTTTCTTTGGTGACTGCAATGACAAACTAAGACAATGTAAGGGCAGATTTAATGGAGTTTTAAGATGAAAATGAAGGTGGGATGTTCTTTTTAGCTCAAGTACAGCTTAAAATAACACAAAAGTCTCAAAATTAAAAGGGATCTTAGAAATTGATGTGCCACTGTGTGCCAAGAGGAGCAACACTCTTTGACTGGGCTAGCCTGAAGAGGTGTACTATATAGTAACAATTTTTGCCATTCTAAGGACCTTGTTCACAGTAGGTTTATGTCCACTTGAATGTTGCTATTACTTAAGAGAAGGTATAAGTAACATTCTTTTATCTGATGTGAAGACCTCAAATTATAAGCAACTCCCTTCCAATACTCCCTCCCCGCCCCGCATGCACACCATCTGATCTTGTCTCTAGGAGTTTGTTCGAGCCCCTTTAATTATTGTCTGTCTCTTTAACCCACTGATTTTCTTTTCATGGCATGGGTGCACTGAGTAAAACAGATTAAGGTTTCAGAACCTCATATTTTGACTGCTACTTAGTTAATCTCTTACTTAGGCAGACTTTAGGTTTCTCGCTGTGTGATGGGAAAGAAAATACTCAACCCTATATGGTTAGTTTGTTTTGAAGTTCAAATGTGAAATAGATGCACTAACAATTTTTGACATGATACTTTCTTAGTAAGTATTAATCTTCCTCTTTCCATACTTTTTTCAGAGGTATTTTGTGAGGAGCTTATGAATGAATGTGCAATATGCATAATAGGTGAAGAGAGTAGAATTTGAGTCAGGTCTGGATTCAAATCTTGTATCTGCTACTTAGCAGCTGTATGACCTTGAGTATTATTCAGTCTTTTAGAATGTATCTTAATTTGCAAAATAAGAATAATAATTTCTAGTTTGTGTAATTTTTGTGAGGATAATATGAAATGTATATAAAATTTTAGGTGCTAAACTAGGTTCCTATTATTTATTACTAAGATATTATTAAAATATTCATTTGATTCCCATTATTATCTGTGGTCTGACTTATGTTTAGCTTCTCCTAAGGTATCTTCCAAATAAGATTTTATGTTTCTGGATGGTTAGGGATAAGATTTGACATTGAACTCCTTACCTGGAATAGTGCTAAGTCCTTGATGCTCATGTTTGTTCAACTTATGGCCAGTAGAATCAGTGTCTTCAATTTTTGACCCACTCATCTGTCAGCCTCTATCCATGGGGTAGTCAGTGGCAGCAATAGATTTTGGTAAATCATTAATTGTAATTAAAGCTAAGTCAAATTTATGCATTTTCCAAATATACTATTGCAGCAATGTACTATATGACTAGGACCTTGTGAAGGATTAATGACAAAACATGGCTTATATTTGTATAATATCCATCATTTTTTTTTTAGTACCTATGCCATATCTATCGTATTCTTACCTAAGCCATATCTATTTTTATTCTTATAAAAAAGTATGTACGTATGTGGTCCACTATAGAACTCATGCAATGCAGCCCACTCCTGACATGTACTGAATGCTCTCTAATTACTTCATGATGACTAGTTTGAAGGTAGAAATAAACATTTTTCCTTAATAAAATAAAAAGAATGAAAAAGGAACTGAATGTGAGCAAAGGGGTAAAAAGGTTGGGGAGATGGGGAATCTACGAGAGACTGCTTTTGCCATTGCTTTTCTAATTTTCTTGTATTATATCTGTTAGTATCATAATTTATATTATAGTTTTTGTTTTAAAACTTTGTAAATGTATTATAGCTCTGACACATTTAAAGATATACTTTTTTAAGCTACGAAGTCAATTATTTGGGAGCAGGAAGGATAATTTGAAAACAACATATTCTTAGCCAACCAGGAGAAAATGATTTTAGAAATACATTTTTTCTTGGGATTCTTTAAAATAAAAATAAAACCTAATGCAAAATTTTCAAGGCTTTTCTAAACTTTTTATCTTGAGATTTGCTTATACAGCAGTGATCTTGTTGATACTTTGTGCAATCTGTCATTTTATGTACTATCCCATGAGGCAAACTTATTTAACCCCTTGTTGATAAGAAATGAAAGAAAACGCCCATAGAAAATTGGGTGTTTGTCCTAAAATGTCACAAAAGAAGAAGAAATCAGAGTAAGATTGTTAAGGGTTAAGGCTCACCTGCTGATTTATTATTTTGTGCTTTTTATGTGGCTCTGTTTTTTGAGAAATTGAAAAGTAAACAGATTTAGGACCCAAATGCTCTGTATAAATTGCCTTCAGACCACAAGGGAGACAAAACTCCAATTCCTGTTATTTTTGTTTAACATTTTTTTTTATTTCTGCAATGCTATTTTATTTAGCTTTAGCCAATTCAAATATGATTCCTGTACTTTCATTTATATTTGGCAGTATAGCAGAGTATTCATCATTATAGCGTCTATTGAAGTGAAAACTTGTATATGATTGTAGCCATGTCTAATAGACTTGAAGTAAAGGCTTTCAAATTCAAGATACTAGAAAGATTACATGTGGTCTTCCCTATCATACATTTATAGCATCTATTTGAAGGGCCAAAAGATTTTGTTTTAGCTGTTTAGTAAAAAAAATTTAACATTTTTTTTTTTTTTTTTTTTTTGAGATAGTGCCCTGGGTAGAGTGTCTTGGTGTCATAGCTCACAGCAACATCAAACTCTTGAGTTTAAGCAATTCTCTTGCCTCAGCCTCCTAAGTAGTTGGGACTACAGGCACCTGCCACAACACCCAGCTATTGTTTTGTTGTAGTTGTTTAACAGGACTGGGACAGGTTCAAACCCACCAGCCCCTGTGTATGTGGCCAGTGCCCTACCACTGAGTTACGGGTGCTGAGCCAAAAAAATGATTAACATTTTTAAGTCCTCTGTTTTTCTTAAATGCAATATATCAGGAGGACTTTTTCGATAAATGCTTTGTAAAGTTAGCAAGAAAAAGAGATTATTTTCTTTCATTGTGACCTCTGATCTCAAACTCTTCTTTGTCTTTCTGTTTTTGTTTGTTTGTTTGTTTGTCCTTTAATTTAATTTTAGAGGGCTGCTGAAGTATCAAATTAACTTAGATACCCACCCTCCTGGCTGTATCAATATTAACAGAAGCCGCACACAGAATATTTCTTTACCAGAGTATCTCTCAGAACATATTCCTGAACCTCCCCCTGGAGGATTTTCAAAACCAGAAGAGAGCACTCAGGACACATTTGTGAAGATCTGCATGGAAGAGCCCAGGTTCCAAGCTAATTTTCCACAGGTCAGATTCATTCTGTATTTGATCTCTGCAAAGTCTATGATTCTATATAACAGATCAACATCAACTTTAAACATGTTTTTAAAGCTATGCTTTCATGTATAATAGGATATTATTTCCAAAACAAGGTGGTAACCCTTATTCCATTATAGGTGCCTGACAGTTTAAGGCAAAAGACCTGTGATATTAGAGAATATAGAAAATTTCTGCTTGACTGATTGTGTGATCTTTGCATATAGTGGCACTAGTATTTGCTGCCAGACAGATGACAAGCCTGACAATGTACTCCCCACTTATTGAGAAAAACATTGAGAAAAGCTGAATCATAAAAAGAGTAATAAAAAAACTGCTACTACTACTATTATGTCATAGTTTAATATTGCATTATAATATATGTATAATTTTGCAAATAGTAAATGGTAAAATTAATTTATATCTGCTAGGCACTATGCTAAAGTGTTCTGTACACATAATTCTTTCATTGTTTACATTGAGTCTTTGAAGCAATTAATAACATCTTCAATTTTCTGATGAAGAAATTGTGCTTAAACACATAATACACCTTGACTGTTGTCTCCAAACTATTATAGTAAGTGGCAGAAATAGCATCAAACCCAAGTCTTTGACTAAAATGCTTGCTCTTTGAAAATTTCTTCTTTATGAGGCCAGAAATTAGTTCAGAAAGGGCTCTAATCTTCCCTTGTGCCTGTGAGAACTGCCCATGTGCAAATTATACTCTGTACTCTATACCAAGTAGAATAGTGCTGTCAAATGTCTATTTTAAGAAGAGAAGATAATCAAAAGTTAGAATGAATTTGTAGATGAATTTGGGATTGTGTGCTAGTCTTGTGTTTGTTATTGTTAATAATCTCTAGATTTCTGTTAGACTCTAGAATTATCAAAACTTTTTTAAGCTTCATGTAATGCCATTAGGCATGGCAGGCATGGTGACTCTTGTTTTATTTATGGGGAACCTGATGCTCAAAGGGTAAGTGACTGTTCCAAAGTCGTTAGGCTGTTGCTTTGCAAAACTTGTTCTGCAATGCACGCTCTTCATAGTGATGGACTAAATGTCACCATATGAAGAAGAGGTATGATCCGTCTACATGGACAAGGAAAGTCAGGCACACCTATGTAAAGTGATGTGGATGATATATTGTTCAATTATCCTAGGACTAGGACTATCCATGAATACACACTCAAAATTGTTACAGTTTCCAATTCTAATATTCCTTTGTATGTACTGTGTAAAAGTTGTTAACAACATGCTCAGCATATCCCATTTTAAAATCTGTTATACATATTTATCATAATATGCACACATTATATGTTTGTATATTCTGCCTATACATTATGCAGATTTAAAAAATTAGGTTTTTCTTTTTTCATAAACATTGAACTGGTACTTTTTTTCTATAGTCATCCTCAGAATTATCTGAAATTTGAACTTCCCATTATGCTTTCTTTGAAGAAAGATATTGGTTATATATTGTATCTATTTGTGTGCATAAAAGGATGTATGAAGGAGGCACACTTCACACTTGGTGGTTAATGTTAGTTGTACCCAGGGCACATGGGTTTGAAGGGAAGGTCTTGACATTGCTTTCCTTTTTATTTTATACTTTAGTTTTGTCTGCATTGAGCATCTGTCAATTTTTACTCATTTTTCTATACATCTTATTATTTAAAATACACATCAAGATATTAACATTGTAATATATGAAATAAACAATTGAGCAGACTATAGTTTCCTAAAATACAAGTATTTCATGAAATATATTTTCAAAAATTTTCCCTCAGACTTGGCTTTGGATTTCTGGACCTTTGTGCCTGTACTGTGCCGAAAGACTTTATAGGTATATCAGGAGCAATAAACCAGTCACCATCATATCAGTCATAAGTCATCCCTCAGATGTCTTAGAAATCCGAATGATCAAAGAAAATTTTAAAGCAAGACCTGGTCAGGTGAGTTGGTGCTCAGTAACTTTTAAAATATCCATATCCTTATGTAATTTTTGAAAATTTGCAGAAATAGCATCATTGGAATAGCTGAATTTTTTTTCTCGGCATTTAAAAATGATCTGTTTGTTGCTTTTCAGTATATTACTCTACATTGTCCCAGTGTGTCTGCGTTAGAAAATCATCCATTTACCCTCACAATGGTAAGAAACATATCTATCAGTTTTTTTAAATTTTTAGGGTGCAATGTAATTTTTTCCTTTTTTATGTCTTATTTCATCCTAATAATCATTCAAAGTCATCATAAAATCATTAATGATTAAGAAAGTCATCTTTTTGCAAGGAGAATAGATGTGTTAATAAACTTTGTATCTATTTCTTTTTAAATTATTATTTGACATCTTACACAATTCAGAAAATAATATGTTAATAATTACTAAAGCTTATTGATTCAAAATATAGATTTTACTCTTTCTCTTTTAGGAATTATATATGGAAATGTAGTATGTGGATAATTTCTTTAGAAAGATTGAATTTAAGGAAAAAGAGGATACTCTGGATTGAAGTGAAAGTATTAGAAAAATCTAAGAAGCATTTGGAAAAGATAAAGCCCAGAATAATTGGTACCAAGGTTGTGTGTGGGAAAGGAAATATGATTCAGGGTCGAGGAAGTAGCTAAGGAATGAGCATCATTAATATGTTTAGCTTATTTGTATATTGATAGCTTTATTTTTTTGCGTCATCAAAAGTATGAGCCCATTTAAAAAATTCAAACAATTCACAAATTTAAGATAAAATAGACATTTAAAAAAATTTTCTGCACTTCCACTTTATTTCTCCAGAGTTTGACTTATGTATTTCCAGATACTTTTCTGTATACTTTGGCATATATAAGTGCTTGACATTTGTGTGCAGGGTCATATTGTTCTGTAAATGGCTCCTTTCACTCAGTGATACACAACCTCTCATGTTACTATATTTGTATTTACCTCATTCTTTTTAATGACTACATAATGTTCCACAGTAGAAAAGTGCTGTGATTTATTTAATATTTCCATTGATGAAGGATATTTAAGTTTTATTCAATTTCTAACAAAGGTAATTGACAACAGGAGCCACATGTTTAAATGTATGCTTAAGAAAAATAGATTAAACAAATTATGGGGGGCAGAAAAATAGCATATCAAAGTGCTGAGATTTGGGGGAGGGGGTGTGTATTGGGAGTCACTTTCAAATTGGATGCACTAGTCAAGGTGAAATCTCTGAAACCTAGGACAACTTACTATATTTTTTGTACATTTGGTTCTTCAGTGTAACATTGGGATAAAAATGTTAAGACTGACTGATTGTAGACTTATTGTGGGTTTAAGAGAACCAGTACAAATAAAGCATGTAGAACAGTCCCTGGAACATAGAAAAGGTCAGTCTGGGTACAGATAAATAAATGCTAACATACTGTGATTTTTACTTTTGGTGTGAATTTGCCCCTTGAGAAAATATGCTTGTCAAGATAGACCAGAACAGACAAAAAGAGATAGAAAGTATCACATGATCAGACAACAACAAAAAAGAGAAACTTTCCATTCAATAATGTATCTTAGAAAGAGAAAAAATTATTTCTGCTTCATATACTCCCTTTTTTTTGGTATTCTGTCTGAATACAAAGTGTATTCAAAATACGTAGCAAGCTTGTTTATAAATGGCAAAGGAAAAGTAGTTTGGCATCAGTGAAATAATTAACACCCATCTCTTCATCAAGAAGGATGGCAACACTGACCTATCCGAGGATGGAATTAATTAATAACTGTGTTGATAGATGAATCTAGACAGCCTTTCATGTGGTGCTGGATGGCAGCTGGCTGGAGAAAGAGAGAAAATATGTTGTTCTGAGGAAGTAAAAATTTAGTTGCTTTGCAAGGAATATAAATTGAGACCTTAGAGTCTTCAGGACGCAGTTCTTTTTGAGTTAAGTAGTTGTATCTTGTCCATCTCTTCTCTAGGCTATGCATGCCTTACAAGGTGGTTTAGTGAGATTACCCTTATTCCATGAGAATGGCAGGAGGTCATCAATCTAGGCAAAGAATTTGTGACTAACACCCCAACAGAAAATAGAGCCAACAACAAGAGTAAACAATAATTAAATCAAAAAGCTTCTGCACAACAAAGGAAATAATGGAGTGACTAGATAACCTGCAGAATGGGAGCAGGGGGCGTCTAAGTATATTGGATTCGGAAACCTTTGGATGTAGGCTTTCATCTGAATCCAGTTTTACTTCTAAGACATGTTTCCATTTGTCTGTGTCCATAGACCCCATATATATGAAATTGGTAACATTTTTTAAAAAGGAAGAATTTAAAAGGGAGAAAATATACAAGTTGTCTTATTTAAGTAATTTAAGAAGTCTGGCCTAATCTTGGGATCGTAAGAAATTTATTACAGAAATTAACCTTTTCTTGTATTGAGATGAAAATTGTTTCTTCATAATAGCATTAAATAGAGAACATGGAATAATAAAAGACGGCAGAAGGCCACGTATAGAGAACAGTGGGGTTTTGGGTCTCTTTCCTTTCATAAAAATATTTTCTAACATACACAAAAGTAGAAAGAAAGAATAGCGTAATGAACCCCCACGTGCCTATCAGCTAACTTCAACAAGAACAGAGAAGATACGTTGCCCTTTAGTGTATATTCTGTCACAGAAGACTTTCATGCTCTTTTAAAACAGAAAATCAAAGCATTTTCCACTGATGGCACATGCTGAGTGGAGGCGTCCAGATCAAATCTCTTTCAGGTTGCATAGGCCCCTTTCTTTCCCAGGGCAAAAGGAGAAATAGAAAGGAAGTGGTGTGGAGAACCGGAAAGGCTTTAAGCAAGTGTTTGCTGTGGTCTGACCTGCTTCTTAAAATGTGATTTCAGTAAGAGTTGTGATAGCTCTGAGGCCTGTTTGAGGTACAGAAGGGAGGAAAAGGAAAGAAAGAGGAAGGAATGTAGGGCATAGGCAGAAGAAATAGAGCTAGAGGTAGGAGAGAGATGAGAAAGAGAAACGAAATTAAATATGAGTAGTAAGGCATGAATAAAGCTGCAACTCCCTCACTGAACAGTTCTCTGTCTCTCAGTGTATCTCTTGACTTCTCTCAGGTTCAATTTCATCATCTGCAAGATAGTACTACTGTAAGTCTAATATTACTCATGGAAAGGGTTTTGTCAATGTCAGTTTAATAAAATAATATGTGTAAAACTTTTGTTACATGGTTGGTGGCTGGTACTTGGCAACTACAGTATAATTACTTGCATAATAAAATATCTGCTTTTAATTTGGATTATTGCCTTCACTTCTGAAATTACACTTTTTTGAAAAGCAAGTATAGGACATGAGTTTTTCAATCAGAAAATGTTGCTTTAAGGGTATGATAGCAGTCTCAATCACTTGAAAATCTTTCATGTAGATGAAAAATTTGATTGTCTTTACTTTGGGATTCCAAAGGGTGGAAATAAGACTCATAGGTAGAAGTTTTAGGAAATTAATTTTGATTTAATATAAGAAAGACAGTTGTAACAATAAGACTTGTCTAGAAATTAAAAGTTGCTATCTTACAGGAGTATTTACAAGGAGGATGATTGTAGTTCAGGATTTTTCAACCTCAACATTGTTGACATTTTGGGCCAGATAATTCTTTGATGTAGTGTATTTTCTTGTGTTTTATGGGGTGTTTAACAGCATCCTTATCACCTACCCACTAAATGTTTCTCCAAACAGAGCCAAATGTCCCTAAGGGGCAAACTTACACATCCTGGACAGCCACTCTTCTAGATCAGTCATTGTCCAAAATAGCTTACAATGCTCACGAGATCCAGGATGTTCCTTCCAGAGGCCACTGTGAGAAGGAAGAATTTAGGATCCAGCAGAGAAAGTGAAGGGTTGGAGGCCTTAACTTGTGTTCTGAGATTCCAGTCTTATATCAGTGAGAACAGCTCACCTTCAGCCAGCCTGCATATGATGACTATAGCAAAATACTAAAAACATCATTGAAAAGTGTTTTTTTCTCACTTGTTTAGAATATATTTTTGAATTTCATAAAAGTTATTTTGGTTAGTGTAAGTTCCTAAATACTATCCTGTTACGTAGATCTTTGAAAAAGAATTTGGTTATTTTTCAAATTCAGAATTCTCTTTTTAATATTTACTGTTATGAATTCCCGTTTGGGTATGAATCAAAAGGAAAAGTAGGATAGCAGCATAAAAATTTTCACTCTTCCTTCTACTTCTATAAGAATTTCTCATCAAAATGACAGAGAAGAGAAAAGAAGATATTTGTAGTTAAAGCAGATTGTGGAAGCTATTTCTTTAATTATCGTAAAGAAACATTAGCCTCTGAAAAAGAAAGAAAAGACAGAAGGAAGAAAAGAAGGGAGGGAGGAAGAAAGGACATTTTTCTACGGCTTAAGACAGTTTGGAAAATATTGCTTAATATGTGTACACATCTCTTTTAGAACTTCATGGTACCCATTAATGTACTAACGATTTTAAGAAGTTCTTTAATAAAAAGTGTAATTACATTTTATTTCACTCATTTAATTAACACCTTTTCTCTTTCTTACTTTGAGGTGTTGGCATAGTCTCATCACCCTAGAAACCAACCTCTATTTCTTCCACTCACACATTAAACACCATCCATTCTCTGTCTGGGAATGCTTGTCCATCTTTCATCTCTAAGCTTGTTATCTCTTCCTCCAAGAAGCCTTTGCTTACCCTCCCTGTTAGATTAAGTTTCTTGACCTTTTCCTCTTATGAGTACCCTATGTCCTCTCCTCAACACAGATGTCATTAATGTGTTTACTTAATGTCTGTCTTCCTTCTGGGCCATAAGTTCCGTGAGGCCTTCCAAAGATTATTTCATAGCATAGTATCTGACACAAGAGTAGCCCAATGCATATATGTTGGAAGAGTGAAAAACACTGAATATTAATATAGGATTAGTATTCAGGACCTAACCAAAGAACTGTTTTATGGATACATCTTCTTTTCTTTCATCTCCCTTAGCACACTCTTACTTGGAAGGTGAAGCTGGAGAAAAGGATATGTTGGAGGGACTAAGAAGAAGGGAGAAATATTTATTGCCAAAATGACTCTTAGAGCTAGTCAGGTTCTGAGTGTAATATCTGAGGAGATGATGCAGATTGATCTCTAGTAGAACACAAGAGG